GACCTTCGGCACTAAAAACGTCATTACAGTTCATATACATTCATAAACAAAGAAAAACTGTCGGTATTGTGAGGGACATAAAACCACACACTAGTCATGCGATACTTTTGACCACAGACCACGAAGTTTTAAAATACAAGTACCTACGCATCGCTACTACAAGCTTAATGGCTTTAAAAACTGGATTAAGTAGCAGAGAAATGCTAAATCGCCGATAAGAATACGTCTTGTCATCCCACGCTGGTATAAAGGATAAAATCTCGAATTTCCAATATAAACTTTAAGATAACAGCCGTAGGCGTACAATTGAATGGCAGCGATGTGAATAGAGATTAAGGCAGTTAAATACAGTTGAATTTTCAATTATTTGAAAGTGCACATATGGTGGGTATAGCAGTGGAAACAATAACTGTTAAGACTGTATAGGTAGTTTAAATAATATTTAATCATAAACATATATATAATTTTTAATATTTAATTTATTTATGAATAAATAAATATAAAATGAAGCAACGATAAGTCTATACAATGAACATTAAGTGGCACAAAATGATCAATTAGAACGAAATGTAAGATTAGCAAATGTCTTTCCATTTAAAGATAAAAGTAACAAGACAGGTTCATGAACACCTTCTGTTTTAAAGATTACCGATGTATGATTAATTGTAGCGATCGTATCAAAGAATTTTAATTGAAAATTAATGTTTTCTTAACATTTAATGCATATGATGCATTGTCTCGATTACTTTCCGCCTTAAAGTTACGAATAATAAATTTAATTCGTTTTATTGTTGGTTTTAGTAATATATATAATGGGATCATTTAAGATTATTAAGTTGAACAAATTAAAGATGTAATGAGCATGGCAACAAATGTGCTAGCTATTAAGTTCCGATATTATTTCAATACTATGTATCAATATCACGCGATAAATCTTTGCTATAGTTAGGACAAAAAACATTCTGCAATCACACGCAAACGTCTGGCGTATAATTTAAATAATTCGTCTACCTGGTCTTAGTTCTTGCTTATAGCATACTATTCTAGGATAATTAGATAGCGGCGATAATAGCGTTTAGGAACTAGTTTACCAAATGACTTACATATTGCTAACAATATATTAACTTCATATAAGTAATAAAAGATACTTCTTTACACACATTGACCACAATATATATTTAAAAATTAAGCTTCAGAAAACATTTAAAATTGTTCGAAGGCGCTGAGATTGTGTAACAACGAACGTTCGAAAAGAACTTTCAAACGGGCAGTAACACTGTGAAATCAACGAATGCTAACACAACGATGGCTAATTATTTTACAGCCTCGGTCACGATTATCTCAGACGTATGTTATCTGCTGTATATCTTTTAAAATGTATACGCTAATCAATACTGTAAACATAGAAACAGTACATTTAAATGATTAGTTTTAATCAAAAGATATACATAGTATCGAATGTTTAAGCTGTTGCAATTAAAATATAAATATGTATATAATTATCGACTATAAATAAAATTAAATTTGACATTCTTAAAAACAAAACTATTTTGTTCCACTATAATGAATAATTCAATAGATCGAAATGAGCTTGCGTGAAAATCTTCAAATTATTTGATTTCGTAAATTTTGATGATGATTCGAATATCATGAATTCCAACCATCAATTTAGGATTTGTAAGGAAATAAGTTGCCACGTTATTATCGTATTGGACCAATATGATAATTTCTAAAGATATCCGTAGGCGAAATGTTCTTGGGACCGTCCACCTGCCCACTTTGATTTATTATGGATTCAGTATTAATTTGATATCCCTTTTACTGCAGCCCCTTGAGCGATTGGAACGAGCGAGTAGGTTTGCCGGCCTCCATTATATGTGGTCCTGGACGAGACGTAATTGCATACACGCTAAGATAAACTGCTTTTTTGCTTATGATGCAAAAGAATAAACATTTGAACTAAGATCAGTGTTTGGAATCTTATCTTTAATATTTTCTATATATTTTTCATTTCCTATCAATCAGTCATGTTAATTTATTCCTATTAATGGTTATTTTTCTGAGTTCAATTAAGACTGAATAAGTTATCATATCTTCTTATAGTTTATAGTAAAAAGAAAATGATTTAAAGTAGATAAGAATCACGTACGTATTATGTTATTGTAAATATTTTTGTAACATGGAATATTCCAGAAACTCTGCTTTGATAGAACGCTTCTTATAAGATACATCCAGAACCTGTTTTTCATAGGAAATTACTCAGGTTGCGAGCAAATTAATGTTCTTGCATCCCTGCTTTAGATACCTATATTAAATTGAACTACGTACATATATCTACGAACATATATCTATATGTTTTTAAACCAGATTCTAGCACTTGTTTCAAAGGTAATATTAGATTAAATGTTGAAAGATTATTATTCTTTTCTTTTATAAATTCATTATTTTTACTACCCGGTAATGGATTTCACTTCTTATTCAAAAATATTTAAATTTAAAAAAGCGTTAGTTAAGTCTTTATCTTGAAAGAGATTCATAATAGCCATCGCATTTTTAATTTATTTTATCGCGAGCTTCATTGCATTTTTAAAGCGGTTTATAATATAGTTTTAATATAAAAAATTCTGGACAAAATTCTGATCATACGTCTTTCACTGATCGGCGTCAGATAAAAATGCTGTTTCCACTTATTTATTTACGTAAGGCCAGTTAGTTATCTCATTTCGTATTCACAATGTGTTTAAAAATTTCGTATCAATAATGATATAATGACGTATTGTGATGTTATATTTTACTATATTTTGGAAGGAAAAATATTCTCGTCAAGATCTGTATTCGGCGGGTCAAAGGCGGTACATAAACATATTTTGTTTTGGGTTTATTAATTACAATGTGTTGGATAATAGCCTGGTATTATGCAGTCCTCGATGCATCTCGATTATAAAGGGAAACGTGACAAAAAAACATGCCTGAATACAATGACGCACACAAAATTATTATTTTTTAAATAATTATGTCTGAGGTCATTTTATTTTTACTAGTTACATCGTTTTATTTCATATATATATATTCATTTATAATGACATTTTAGTTGTTATAATGAAATTCATTTTTTGTCATTGCTTTCAATTCAAATGTTGATAGTTTATAAAAACTAAATAGTTCAACGATTTAATGGATTCTCTTTGTACCGTGCGAAAAAAAGACGGAAAAAATGTTTTTATATATTGTAAAGAATTTTATGACAGCTTCGTTTCTAAAAATATGTATAAATCAATAAAACAAGTATATCTAATGTGAATGCGAACTAAACCAATGTAATTATATCTAAATCTTTGCTTTAATTATTATATAATTAGCCTGTTTAATTACTTTATTTATTATACTATTTCGTGAAGTAATAATTGGAGTTCAGTTACATTATAAAAATATAGTTATTAAGTATTGTTATAACAAAGATTTTTATTTTTATATGTTGACGGTATTATAATCCCGATTTCCATCACCGAGGTACCAATAGAAACCAATGAGTCATCAGATTCTGAACTAATTACAGAATAAGAGGAAAAAACGCATTACTCAAAGCGAGACGAATGCTTCAGACAAGCATTAAGATTTATCAAAAAATACTAAATCTAAGTTTCATGTTTGTATCATTATAATATAAGAAAATGTTGTCAACAACGATTGATCACGTGATAGCCTTGAATACTCAGTTTTTTTAATAAAAAATTACACATTGGTTTCCATTCAAAAATCTCCTAAAATTTTCAAGGGTAAAGAAATTGTTTTTGAAATTATTACCATTTTTTAATGAAGAAAATTAAAAAAGTAAAGAGAACTTCTGTAATTTGATATCTTTGGATAAAAATCCAGTTTTATAGCGAACTATAAAGTTTTTTTTCATTCGTCCCAAAGCCCTCGATTTCGAACGCGCGGTCAATAATGTACATATATTTAAAACATTTTTCTTTTTCTCAATTTATTTCCATATCTGTTAATCGGATTAAAAATTTAATAAATGTGAAGTTGGTTGTGAGACTAGCTCTAAGCATTTTTTATAGGTTTAAATATTTTATTTCAACATATGCGATACCTCATAACAGTTAAAGTCATAAAATATGAGTTATATAATATGTAAAAAAATTCTAATCTTTAAAACAGTTTATTTTAATTGTGATGGAAGTTATGATTTATCTTCATTCAAAATATTCTTGCCAATGTATCACAATCACATAAATAACAGCTTCTTATAAAAGTCCAATTATTTCTTATTTTTTTATATCACAGAGTGCTTAAGTTTTTGTCGAAACTTTAATCCTACTTTATAGCCAGCCAACTTAATAACAGTGTGAGAACGAATGAAATGCAATTAAATAAAAAAAAACTCATATTTTAAGTGTGTCTTTGTTAATATAATTATCATACTGTGTTGTTAACAAGTACAAAAACATTTTTATTTTTACTATCAATATAGACAATCTAAAATCAAGATACATTTCAAAGAAACTTTTACAACGATTAAGAAACTTATAAATATTTCAATTCCGAGTAGTAAAGCGGATGCGGGCACGCTCGGCTTAACATCTGCAACTTGACTTACACCGGCTGCTTGTTACGTGCATATAAAGTGAGCCTTTACTATGGCTGTCGTTGTAGAAAATTATAACATACGTATAAGGTTATATAAACGAACCTACAATTACGCAGCATATAAGCATATTTTATATAATGGTATTGAATTCAGTTCATATTATAGCAGCAAAATTTTACTAAATTAAAAAATAAACATACACACATCAAGATCAAACTTATGGTAACTCTCTTTTTGCTTCGGGGGTTAAAAAGATTGTATCAAGTATATTTTACTTTTAGATTGTATGATATTTATCTGTGAAAGTCAATAAGGCTAAAAGCAATAGTCAAGTTTAATAATTTTATATTACTGAATGAATCATATATGTCAAAAAGAAAAGTCCAGAAAAGAAAAATATATTTACCTGTGGTCCCTCAAGTGATCTTGTCTTCTGAAAGCTTTTCCGCAGATGTCACATGAATATGGTCGTTCATCTGTATGCGTCCTTTCATGGATAAGAAGGTTATAGGATTTTGTAAATTGGCGATTGCAGAATTTACAGATAAATTGTTTTTTCGGTCTTGAAGCTCTTCCAGGGGCTCTAAGCAACCGTCTATCAAGATGGGGATGCATTTGATGGGGACCAGCACCGGGAGGAAATAATCCAGCACCAGGAAAAGTGAAACTATTAGCAGCAGTTGGAGAAGGACCTGGCGCCCCGAGAAATGCTCCAGGAGGACCATAAATTGGAGGTTGTGATGATCCGTCTGATATCATACCATCTATTGATGAAGCTCTGTGGTGTGGAATAAGCATAGCTGCTGCAGCCTCACGCAAGGCCACTTCTTTGCGCTTTTCAACCATCATGGCCATAAGGTCAAAAGAATTTCTTTTAGCAAAATTGCCTGAAGTTCTGTCAGGTGAGCCCTTGGCTGGTTCACTTCTGTCTCTTTCTAACATTCTTTCCCTTTCTATCATTTCAGATGGTAGAAGCGAAGGATGCATTTCATTAGGATACATAACAGGATGCATGGCTCTTGTTGGCACAACAGGTACAAATGCGGACGATTCGCGATGGGAAGGAGCAAGAAGGGTGCCAGTAGTTATTTGGCGATGATAAGGAGGAATAGGAGGGGACTCAAAGTTTCCATTTGCATTTCGACCACTTGATGATGGTCTCTGGGCTCGTTCAGCTGCACTTGCAAGAAATTGGTCATGTCTTGAGCGCAGAGGAGCGGTCACTGGACTATCTGTTGCTGGGCGAGGAGTGGAAGCCCTTGAAACTACTGTTCCGTTCTCAGACATTACGTTAGTAGATTCATCTGCAAAACGAAAAATAATTTAAATAATTAAAAGGCATATTTATTTGTAAAATAATCGTAATGTTGCTATTTATAGTAGTAGTGAAGGTCGTTAGTACATAAATTAATAATAACAATATCGGTCATTTTATGGAGTAAATAATAAAATTAACCTGTCATTCATTATTGATATAGAACAATGTAAACCATTGGTTGTATTTTTCAGATGGTTTTAAAATGACAAATGAAAGCTAAGTCCGACAATTGTCGGTATTGCATTCACTTAAGGATAAGTAATAAAGCACAATTCTCTTGGATATAGCGGGCAGGTATTGAATATTTAGATTTATGGAGCGAGAATCATGTTTAATTAAGTAGCTCTACATAGTTCTTTTACTTATTAGCATGTGAAACAGATTACTTCCCACTGGAAACATCAACGATTACATTTCACAATTTGTTTATGATTTTGGTGCCTCATAGTGATATTATTTATAAATTCATTGTGATAATGTTTCAGAAAAGTGTTTTAAAAACATGATACTCAACAGATGCGAGTTTCACATTTATTGAATATAAGCATATTACTTTGGAATTAATTGCTCTGTATATTTTTTAACGATATCTTTGAAATTGCTTTGAACCATATTAACCTTTGAAAAAAACATTCAATGTGAATTGCATTATACATCAATGACAATTGCATAAATATAAATGTTTGTTTTGTTTTATTTACGTATTTTTATCATTATTTAAATTATCTCATGCATCATTCAGCAGTTTATTCTCAATAGCATAGTTTCTTAGCTTCTGGTGATATCACAAAATGTTAATGACAACCGGATTTTGATACTAAACCGATATAAATGTCTATACTTGATAAGTTGCTTTAGATTACTCAGAATACCAGTTATTTATAAGGAATTTGATTCTCCGATAAATAATAATTAGTTAAGTAATAAATTGTCCTGTCACATTTTAATGGCTTTTATTACTTTTAATTTTAATGCCATAGTGAAATTTTCGTTTAGATTTATAAATTATTGCATTTTTAAATATGGAATACTACTGTTATAACAACTAATTCAATTTTTATTACAAAATAGTGCACAAAAGGAATAGACAAAAGGGAGGAAAATAGTTTTAATATTCTATTGGAAATAGTTACAAACTGTCTATAAATGTTACCACGGTATGGGATGAAAATATATATGTTATAAAAGAATAATATCATCGAGATTGTTCTATTTTTAGATTAACGATTATTCTGATGGTAACCAACTGTATAACTCGTAGGACAATAAAATGGCTATACATAATTTAATGGCTTGACGAAAACATCTTGTAAAGTTTTCATAGGATTTCCTGCCTTAAAGGATAACTGTTATAAAATTAACAGATGCATATCAATCAAATTTAAGAATTAAAGTTGATAAAGTAGAAAACATGCGATTGTTCACCGTGTCGAGTTCCATTACATTGACACAAAAAAGTTTATGGCCCCACGAACGTGGAAAAAAAATGAATCTTAGAATCAATTTATTCAAGCGGGATCGAAAAAGAAGGCAAGCGCCGGGCCCGCATTTCACTGTTGCCCGCTCTACCGTAAGAGCCTTCTGATTTTTGTCCCTCTCACTCCTCAACAATTTAGTGTTCTGTTTCACTCACACTAAGGTTATGCCTGATCGAGTTTCTACCATCTTACTTGCTCCGAAGCTGTAAAACTACTTTTATCATCTGTTTAGTTTTGAGAATTCAAAGATATGAATATGTATTAATGTACTGTAGTAAGTGACTTTAATATGTAATACTTGTTATTTTAATAATTTACATATTCCGATTAAACTATTAAGCTACCTAAAACCAACAGCGTAAAAAAGTATTAAAGATATCAAAATTAAACAGAAAATTAGACATAGATATCAAAATTAAACAGAAAATTATAAATAGTATATTCGATATTACAAATACAATTATAGGTTTTTTTTAAAGCAACCATTTGTGCGCAGGTGTAAGAAAATAATTATTACTGCGCTATAGGCTATTGCCAAGTTAATAAGTTTAATCCTGAAATAGTTATTCCACTCAACTTATAAGACGAACATGAAAACATAAAAAACTGGATATATTGTTTTGCAAATAAATGTCAGTACTCCCATTAAAGGTGTCTGACACTTCTGGCCCAAGCAATGAAAATTTAAGAAAAACTTTTATTATCATAATTAATTCTGCATTGGCTAAATAATTAACTTATTAATAGTCTAAACATTTTTGATGGATTAGTTTTTTAGATTAATTTTAATAAATATAAATTACCACATCTGCGACTGAACTACAAGTAGAAAAAGAGGGGAAGGAAAAAGATAAATAGAAAAAAAGAAACGAAAACGTAACAGAGAAATCCTAATATTATAATATGTATTATTGAATTTCACAATATATTTAACGAATCACATATATACTATATTCGAATTAATTAAGGTTTAAATTGTTTTGTTTGCTTTTCATGATAATTTCTATCAGCGAGGCAGCCTGCCCGATCTTAAGGCATTAAATCAATGGTACATGGCTTAGGTTTTAGTTCGTTAATCCCTTAGGTAGAGCGAGGTTACTGACCAGCTCATGTTTATATTATATTAATGCTCTGTCGAAGGATTTAGTTTATTCTATATTAAGATTTGTTACTAGAAATAGAAATAGTACACTATATTTAATTTTGACTTGGATATCATTTTGAATATAAAATATGTATGTATATCAAGTTAATAAGATGTTCAATATGTGGAGCAATGTTTTTAACTTTTGTCCTATTCTGCATTGCAATAAACGTAAAAATTAGTTATATTTAATCTTTTTTTTTAAACGTTGGAAAAAATGCATTACTGCATACACTTTTGGGCAGGTTTTATGACCAGAGTGGCTATGTTGGGCTCCCGGTAAGCATGCTTAGCTTCGCATGCCTACCAATTTCCTTACATTTTACCCTTGAAGTCTACGTGATTAAATTTTGATTTTAAGAAATATTTTACTGCTCTTAAGTTACTTATAAGTAAAAACAATAAGAATAAGAATGCAAATAAAAAAGTTTTTAATCATCTTCATAGAAGCAAACTAAATTATTTTGAAACACGTGATTTAAAATAATGATTACAAAATTCAATAATATATAGCGTCGGCAAACGTCAAAGGATTTCGAAAATTTCATGGAAATTTAACTACGAATGTAGGGCTAGTGATATCACGGTTATCAAATCAAACAATCTGTGATGTAAAACTTTAAATTAATATATTGGCAACAATTATGTTTATTGTTACAAAGGGGAAACTCTTTTTCGTTGCCGCAAGGATTCTGTTGTAATGATAAGCGTTATGGATGTATGATAAGATTGGTTTATCAGTAGATGCCACAGATTAACTACTATTTGTTAGAAATTAATACTCTACCGTATATTTCCTAAGTTAAATGTATCATTTTTATTTTAACGTGGCAAAATTATAAAAAATACACTTTGATTAACCTAAATCGTCTCTAATACTTTGTAACCCATATGTGTTTTTTTTTATCTAAGTATTCAAAAATTCTTTAGATCACATATGTTAGTATATAATTTATAAAATAATAAAAAACAGCTTACTTGGAAATAGATGGGTTTGAAATACAGTAAGCTATTTTATATTTTATGATCGGTAATAAAAAATCCAGCCATAGTTTTGCTGTGACTTTAGACCCTTATAACACTGGGATTGTACGCTGTAAGCCTTTGTATTTAACTCTGATATAATACAACAATCCAGTAAATACAAGAACGCAATTAGATATTTGATTAAATATTTGCGAAGAGAATGGTATTGAATGACATATAATTTCTATTTACCTCTGATTATATAATAAACCATGATAACAATGCCAACATAAAATACATAATGGAATTATATATAACAATATACTTTTTAGTTATATGTTTGAATTTTAATTATATTATTAAATTAATAAGTTTTTGATCCTTTTTACTTCTTAATTTGCTTGAAATACGTCTTTGATGTAAACCAGTTTACAATAAAATTGTATTTGTAGTTAAAATATATTCCATCTGATTCTTAATTTCGGTCATTAAGTGTTTATTTGCATAAATAAATAGTTTATTGGAGTCATTTATAAAATATATTAGTTCATTAAATATAAATAATTATTCTAAATAAGCTACTGAACATTAAAGTTAATAGTACTTAATTCTAATGAAATCTTTGTGTGTGGTTTCTCGTTAGAAAAAAAACAATAATAAACATTTTAATAGCTCACATCCGTACACATGACCATGATAATAAATAAAACAGGTAGCGTAAAACGCACCCCGACTACCCAATTAAAATATTACAAAAATATTATGATTATATAATAAACCATGATAACAATGCCAACATAAAATACATAATGGAATTATATATAACAATATACTTTTTAGTTATATGTTTGAATTTTAATTATATTATTAAATTAATAAGTTTTTGATCCTTTTTACTTCTTAATTTGCTTGAAATACGTCTTGAATAAAAATATATTCCATCTGATTCTTAATTTCGGTCATTAAGTGTTTATTTGCATAAATAAATAGTTTATTGGAGTCATTTATAAAATATAATTAGTTCATTAAATATAAATAATTATTCTAAATAAGCTACTGAACATTAAAGTTAATAGTACTTAATGATTAAAATAATAATTTTATAAAATTTATTACAAATATACAATTTAATATACATTTAACTTTAATATTTCTATTATTAATCAATATTCAATTAAATGAAATCTTTGTGTGGTTCTCCATATAATAAACATTTTAATAGCTCACATCCGTACACATGACCATGATAATTACGTAAAACGCACCCCGACTAGAAAAAATCCATCCGTCGTATTAAATTACATTTTGTATAAAAAATCGAACTCACAAGGCGACGAATCGTCCGATCGATCCAACGATGCGACCAACCCTCCAGTAGTCA